ACAGAAAGACACAGTTCAGTGCAACTACAACTGCGTCTAAAGTGTTATTATTGAAAAACGCTTTGAGAAACCCAACTTTCTAAAGGATCAGTTGCATGTCGTGATGGTAGCACACAGAACATCTCACATGAATTTTAAGTGTTGCATCAGTAAAATGTTGCAGGACAGAGGCGCGATGTCTGCACACTGACTTCAAACCAACATTGTTATTTCGTATACATGTAGTGAATATCTCTAGTGGTCCGTCAAGAATACTGCCACCTGAACTCAGATGCAGTATCAGAAAGGGTTCGACAAAAAAAAGAAGCAAACCGCAGTAATCTGCCCGTCACTAGTTGCCGTGCAGACTCCTCGTCCAGTCCGTCTGTCTGTCTTCACCTGTCTGTCTCTCCCTCCTCACCGGCCTCCTGTCTGTCTCTCCCAGACTCTCAGACACAACTGTCTTCTTGACCCCACACAAGGTGGCTGTCGGTGCCGTCATTCATCACATGTATTGGGGAAGAATGACACTGACAGCGTAGTGGTCCTGGAGTGACTTAGCAGATGTGTGTGTGTGTGTGTGTGTGTGTGTGTGTGTGTGTGTGTGGGATGAGGTTGAAAAAGGCTCTTAGCTGCTTGAGAATGAAAAGCTGCACTGCAGCGATTTCCGGTTACATCACAGGAGGTCTGAGTGACAAGTGTCAGACGACAAAGCTCTCAAAGGAAGATGCTCTGAAAGGAATAAAGATGGCAATTTAGAGTCCTGTCTTCTTTCTTTCTTTGTATTATTGAGCGCTTGTCACGCTGTGGAGAAAATGGGAATCCATAAATGATGCAACGGACTGTAAAATGGCCTTTTTGCTAGTTGGAATCTTTTTCCCAATATTTACATATACATGTACTGTATATATAAATATATGTATGTGTCCGGTGTCAGTGTTTTTTTTTTTTTCAAATCATCCCCAGAAGTTACACGTATTACTCATTACTCAGCAAATTGTTTTATTTTATTTTTATCAGCCAGTGATCTGCGTTGGTGATGAAAGTGATAACGCTGAGTCAAAAGTAGCAGCGCTAGCTGTCACAAGCTGTTGCTATAGGCGACAAGGTGCAGATCTCAAGTTTAGACTAAATAGATTGAAGCCTTCTTGAAACACGTCTCTGAAAACAAAAGTCGCGCCGAGGTGTCGTATACTCCAACTGTCTTTTCACAGCGTTTCTTCATTGTTATTCAACCATGGCAGGCTGCCAAAACCCTCCTGATTACGAAACACGTAACACCGTTTCAGCCGTCTCTTCCCATAAGAAGTAAATTACCGCCATAACAACCTATAATGGCGTATCTGTCTCAGAGGAACTAACAATCGTTACTACATAGAATACGTTACCACGTTAAGTGGCTCCTGAAGACTGAAGCTGCTCTTTCTACCATCTGTTGTTTTAAAGGATCTTATATGCTGTCACTGTCTATATGTACCTGCTTCTAGAAATGTGTCAATTAAATGAATTATAATAATTTGTATTATTAGTACAGTAGCCTACCTGCCTACCTCGCCCAATGAGGGATTGATTAGTAGACAGTGCCACATATTATGTTCAACTTCAACGCCAGTATACTTGCATACAACAAAACAGTCTTATCATCCAAGAAGTGTAACCTGCCGAAACAATAAATGGACACATAATTATTATAAACATGCTTACAATGTGTTATAATCTGCTTATAGCACTGTATATTTGTAGTTATAAGCACTCACACGTATTAATAATGCTTTATTATCATTTTATAATATTATAAGGTCATAATTGCTTTTTTTTGCACGGATCATATTTTATTATAATTACCATAGCTGTGATACATTATACTCTTTAATAATACATGTGTGCAACCATAGCCTGTATATAGTAAGTGGACGTAGTCATCGTGATGTCCCCCATTGGTTTGTGGACTGACGTTTTGAAGCCTCGAGTTCGGCGATTGCACCGTCACCATCTCGCCAGCGACCTGTCAATCACAGTAAGCCCGCCCTAAAGCATACCCTGCTTTATGGTCTGTTTGACTCTAAATGGAGCATAACTTACTGAATGAACATCATGCTGTATTGAAGAATACTTTAAACTAGAGATTGAGACCATAAACTCGTGTTTACTGATGTAATAAATCAAGAGAGAAGTAGAGTCATTTGTTCAAGTTTCAACCTGTCTGCATCAGGAGGAGTTCCCTCACATAAAGGTATCATTAGGTCGTCCATCTGACGCCCGAGACAGCTACAGAGGGGTGAGTCTTCCCGCATGGACTCCACGGAACCCCATGTGCACCACTTCTTGGTTGAGTGCCTCCCAGGTTAGGGTATCACCCTCATCCTGCATAGCTCGCCCAGGAGAGCGAAGCGGTAACTGGGCAGCCGTTCCTGTCTACACACCTCGGACCATCTGTTGTCCACTAAAACATACCCTTGTGGATGACAGGGGGTCAGCTGATGACCTCAGTTCATAAACAGGGATACCTATAGAACAAAAGATATATTCTCTTGTTCTCTAATCTAGTGCTTTTGCACTGTATCCATGACAAATAATAAATGCATTTTGTTTACTGTCTCAACATGAGCTTATCTTACATTGATATTCTAAACCAAAACTAATAACATGGCTTTTGTTCTTCAGGCAATACACCCTCTTTTCTCCTGGTTTCATTCTCCTAAAAAGCCCCATTTCACCTTTTCTATGAAACAAACCCATTTTCCCGTTCACTTCAAATACATTCACACTTTTGTTCGTTTAATGGCACCATCCTCTATTATGCTTTACACAGGTGCATTTGCCATTTTATGTGCAAAACTACTTTTCAAAAGCAATTCATTTTTTCTGGTTTAGGCCATAAACCACAGATATGTCCCTTTGGCTACTGATGATAACCTGGATTCATGAAAATAGCTTGAGCCATTGAAATGCATAATGAATTAAATGTGCTTGTTTTTTCTGTGGTTCTGGGGAAGCTTTCCCGACCCGCTACTCCACACCACACAAGTCTGCTAGCAATAGCACGTTAGCTTACAGCCTTCTAGCTCTAGCCACCTATCCATCAGGACTCTAACCATTCATACATCACAATTTGGGTTTAAGTGTCTTGCCCAACACACATCGACATGGACTAGCAGAGCCGGGGATTGAACCGCCGATTCTCTGATTGAAGGACGATGCCGCTCTACTGCTGAGCCAGTCTTTCAGGACACATTGCCTCTTACACCGACATGTGCAAACGATCTCAAAAACAACATGTTGAGCTCTGAAAACTAGCATCTACGCTCAATTTAACGCATACATGCCGACCTGGAGGTAAACAAACGGTACCAGTTCATCACATGCTCACATTTTTTGACAATTCACACACAATATATTCAACATAGAGTCCTCACTCCTCACGTTAAAAAGATTGAATTGATAGGAGTTACAGTTTGCTCACACAACTCGAAATCAGGACTCGCCCCATTTCACGCTTTTCTCTGCTTAACGATGCCATCAGTAAAATACTCTACTCAAACCCTACAGTGTTCCACATCGTTCACACCTTATTGGTATTTTTTACAGTATAAAAAGCCAGCAACAGTACTAAAAGAAATGGTCCAGAACACTGCAGCGAGAATCCCAGCACATTTTGACGTGTCCCAGCAGGGTAAACACAGGCATGATTGATTAAATGAATGATGGTCCCACAGTCATTCCAGTGAACCAACATGCGCAACACCAGGGCCTACATTTAACAGGGCCATAATTAATGTCATTAATCACACCTGTGTTTATAATACGACATGTGTTTGAATAACTGCTGTGAAAGGGGCTGTTTCCAACCGTTTCAGCTTCCCTTCATTGGCTACCTGTCTGTGTGTCAGATAAGACTATAAGTCGTTAATGGACACGCCCCCTTCCTACCTGACTTATCTCCTCAAAGCTTATTCTTTAGTCCAATCAGGACTCGTCGCTCTTAGAGTACAGGGACTCCTGTCTGTCCCAAGAATAAAAAAAGAAGTCAACAAACCAAAGGCCCTTGTACTATCATATCCCCTTCTTGAATAAGAATGTGAGAAAAGGATAAGAAAGACAAAATATTTAGGTGTTTTTCACCTAAATACTATACGTTCTGTCTGACGACTTGAAATTTCAACGGTTTATTTTAGCCAAATACTGCTTTTTGTCAAACAACTCATAGTTTTGAGGGTTTATTCCAACCTCTCTGTATAACACGTTCATTCATTTCACCTTGGGCAGTATTACAATCACGTCTGTCAGCAGTACAGTGCAATGCTGTGCGCTTTAATTTATTCGAGTATTTTCAGCAACGCCTTGCAATTAACGTCATCTGTCAGGATTCTCGTGCATTTTCTAGTTCTCTACCTGTGTGACTTATCCATCTCTTGACTTATTTCTGAAGTCAGCTGCTTTCAACCCTCTACAAAAACACACTGTAACAGCAATATTCTGAATACGCTGCAGCTCACAGGGATATGATAAACTCAGAGGGTGTTATTGATTTTGCAGAGCAGGCACACACGTCCCCCAGGTGTCTCGACGCAGCATTATGCCTCTGTGAAATTCAAACCATTGCTCTACGGCACTTGCAATTTACAAAAGCGTCAGGCGGTGGCACCAGCATCACAGTTGAAACATACTGCCTCAATCCAATCAGAGGGTTCTGTTTCTTTGAAATCATTTATGAAACTGTATTTCTATTATTTCATTTCCCCCCAAGTGATCATTTTCTGTAAGTTGATTATCTTTTGGGAGTGTGGATCATTTTGTGTGTAGTAGTTCTGGACTGTCTGCTTTCCCTCTGAGGCATGTACAGTATAGACTACAATGCATGAAGTGGTCAGTCTAATCATTTTCTACATTGCAAATCACGTGGTATCGATCAGATTAAAGTCACAAAAATAAAAAAGAGAGGGCTGTCTTTGTAACAGGGTGCATCCATCACTCAACCCAGAAACATGCGCAATTCAGTTCCAAACGCTCAGAAATGATAGTCAAAGAGTCACAGTTGACTTTAACCACAGCACGAATCAGCTGCACACGCACGCAAGCGCACCGGGGTTTTGCGGCTCTTTTAAATCCACCTGTTCACGCGCTCCCCCCTGCTCGCTGCTGCTGATAGGTTTGTCAGGAAGAGAAATCACTTCTTTTTTTTTTTTACGCCTTTTGGCACGAGGTGGCGGGGGGAGCTCTCCTCATAGCACCATCACCCCAGCACAGACAGAGCACAGAGCTGCTGCTGCCTGCTGAATGGATTACCTGCACGGCTTTGCGCACAAGCCTCCTCACATTAATAACCTCCATCTCGGAGAAGAGCGCGAGCCTTTTTTTTTTTTTGATATGATTACACCTCAACGACGCCGATCGTGCCCGGCGCACTGATTTGAGACCAGCTCTGACTCCCAAAGTCACATCGCCACCGCCGCCGCCTGTACGCGCAGAACAATCCGTCTGGAGAGGAGTTTTTTTCCTGCAACAATTTGTTGCAAACGTTGCAAAAGGGGGGCGAAGTCATGGTGCCGGCAATGCATCGGCGTCTCATGGCACCGTGAGAACTTTCTTCCTGTCTCTCCCTCCCCTTCCTCCTCCTTTTTTCCCTCCTCTCTTCTTGTTGTTGTTGTTTTAGATGTTTGCCAGCGGGATCGTGCTTCTTTGGGAAATTATCCGCCGTTTCCCCTTTCAATTATGTTCACTTTTGCTGCCTTCTGCTACATGCTGTCTCTGGTCCTCTGCGTGTCCCTGATCTTCTTCGCAATATGGCACGTAAGTACCTCCGAATGAGCTTTTTTCTATGTGTTTAATAACCGGCGGATGGATCCGATCATCGCTTCCTTATTGAACGCGCAGGTGTGACATTTGTGCGTAACGGAGTCAGAAAAGCCCCACGGCCCCTTTCCTCTTCAAGTGTGTGTTTCTTTGGGGAGATTTCACGCTGTTAAACACTGGCAGGATTTATTTGGAAGACGTTTCCCTCACTGATACGACAGGTGCGCACCTGTATCTTCATGCACGTCTTCACCACTTCCCTCATATTTGGCTATACTTTGCTGACCTAATTCACTATATTGCAACCCTGAGCAGCATCCTAGATGAATTAAATGGCCTTCCTTCCACATCAATTACGGAAAATATTATAGTGAACCCCCCCTCTCCTCCTCCTCCTCCTCCTCGCATCCACCCTGCTCTGCTTCCTCTGCCTTTAATCAACCCACTGCTCAGCTATATACACCGGTGTCCAATGTGACCGACTGCTTTATTATATTTGAATAATCTAATTATTTGCTCCCTGAGCCACATCTCCATCATGCAGAAAGGGGCCTTATGTAAAGACAGATTTGGGTCAGGTCTTCCAGCCTATTGTCCCGAATCTGCCTTTTTGCATGGGAACAGCGACAGACCTGATGCACTGGGGATGACTGATCCTCCGGCAATTACGCCCAATAGTCGGGTCTGCCCGTCTGTCAGAGAGTGGACCCATGTGCCTGCTCACAGCGGAAATAAACAGGGCAGTGAGAGTGCAGACACCCATGATAGTACAGTTAAAACTGTAGTGGGCATGCAAAAAAAAAAGCCAACAAGACCAAAAGAAAGCACCTTTATGATGCTAGCTACTACTAAGCTGATATGGAAAGATACTATAGAGGAACAGAAACCACGACGGCTCCTTCAATTCAGTCTGTGATGTATTCAGCGCCGGTTGGAAGGATCACAACGGAAACACGCTATTTCTGTAGCTTCAGCAATAATCCACACATCCATCGCACCAGGCTTCATTTTGCATTCTGCTTAAGACGGCAGAAACGGCAGAGATGCCTCCTCCGCTGATTCCCGTTTCGAGGCGACGCACAGACGTGGTGCAATAAGCCGACAGCTCCGAGGAGACATAATTACGGAGACGGCTGAGGTGGGAATGTGTGGAGCAGGTGGAAGCGTTCGACGGAGCCGAGGCTGCACGTTCACACCAGCCACCTGCCAAATGCCGGGGACATTCTGGCTGTAAAGATGTCTGCACATAAAGTCCTTATTTTTTGTCCAAAATGTGTCGATCACTGTTACACGACTTTCGACCGCAATTAAAGATTTCGGAACAAGGTTCAATTTCTTCGATCGCCATCCGTCAGAGTTGTTTGACCACTCGGAGCTACCGTACACGCAAACATCATGTATAATGGGATCTGGTGAGCTGATTCACTTCATTCATTTGTCTCCCGGTACAAAGCACTTTACGATACAGACGTGGAACTTAACGGTAGATTGTAGCAGGTGATTGAAGAACAGCTTGGAATTGCCGATGGTCGCTAAAGAAAAGGATGTAGTAAAGACTAGACAGCAGTGATTGTGCTCTAGGCAGCTAAACGATAGCTTCGTGCTAATATCATTCATCCATTAGCCCCGTTTGCAACTAGCGCTATCCACTGCACCCACGTATTGTTAGTTATTTGGTTTCAATTCCTATTGCAAAATTTTACTACAAAAATAATTATAAAACGCATCGAAGTTTGCAAGGTTTCTGTGTGTGGTGAATTCTATCGGATGATGGATTTTAAAGAAACGCATACGAAAAATACAGACTTGAGCAAAGGCCTAAACAATCTCACTTCTATCAGCCACTTTGGCTGGTAGCCGGGCTTTTTTATGCCTTCGCAATGGCAACACCCACTACTGGAGGCATTATGTTTTTGGTTTGTCCATCCGTCTGTGAATGTGAACTCCTTGAGGGAATTTTTTCACACTTGGGTCAAAGGTCTAAAAAGCTGTTTTCGAATTTGGTGGTTGACGGTCACGGTCATGTAAACTCACGAAACTTAATTTTTGTCTAAAACTCAAGAATTAAATTGCTAATTATGACAATTCCAAACAAATGTCTGATAGATAAAATCGATGAAGTAAAGACATTTTGCACAAACATGGATGTAAACTGCAACTCCACTGGTTGGCGGAGGCAAACAACAGACAAAGCGCTAATTTAAATTTCTTGAATTTCAAGAACTCGTCTTGTTTCAAAGAACTGCCACTTGACCAAAAAGGTTACATTGCAATGCACCGACCAGCTGCTGGTCGGTGAACAAGTGTGCTGAGCCAAACTACCCAGGGTAAGAAAATCAAGCTATAAATAAAGTGACTAAGTGTAAATGAACATAAAAATGAGGCTATGAAACAGCCAGGCCACAGAGAAAAGACAATGGGAGAAAAAGAGTAATGGACTGCTCTGACTCAAACATATTACCAGACCTGTCAGCAGGTACCACCAGCGTCTGAGTCATCCAAGTCAGGGAATGAGAAATGACTGCACACAGAAGGACTTCTGTCACTAATTGGACATCATAAATCAAACCATATACTGCCAAGTTAATTAGCTCCTTATCTACTACTACACCCATTTGAAGGAGCAGATACATTTCTTGTTTAACTTGTTTTGAAGGACGTAAATGATTCCTCTTCCGTCCCACTTGTTTGTGGGGCCATTCAGTTAAGACCCTCCCTGGACTCACGGCGGGCGAAGGTGTGAAGTAAGAACAGGTCGGGTAATGAGGAGGGAACCAAGGGCATATGTTTTAGCATATCGATATTTTGGGAGGACAGAGTTGTGCCTTCCAATATTTGAGCAAACTTGTTTACATTATCTTTGGAGTGAAGCCATTCGTTAGATCATTCGGACGGGCCCTTGAGAGGCTACATCTGGAACTTTGTCTTAAGATGTTGTGACATTATTGTCATAATGTTACAGATTTCATAATCATATTATGACTTCTGAGAGAACACACATGTGTGGGTTGTATTTTGAATGTACAGAATGTTTTGAATAAGAGCAGATGAAACACAAATTAAGATGATATAATGTATCTCTGAGGTGAATAGGTGGAACGACATGCACATTTGACGAGCAACCCATGAACCTTAAAACATGTTTATATTGTTGTATATTTCTGCAAAGCACGGGATATGTTAAAAAGTCAAGGTTTCTGAAACAAAAATGCACGTTTCATAGCAGTCTTGTATGACGCTTGCAGAAACACATAATGCCACGTGGTTAAAGCTGCAGGTCTGCTGAGACCCTCGGCTCCTTTAAATCAAGATTGAAGACTTTTTCCTGTCGCCTTTAATTGAACCAGATTCAAGGATATTAATCAATTTCTGCATTTTACTATACTACTGTATTTTATTTCTTACACTGCTTTTTAATGTTTCATCAATGTTCTTAATTGTTTTTAAATCTCCTTTTCTTTTGCCTTATGCTTTGATGTTTTTAATGGTTTTATGTGAAGCACTTTGAATTGCCTTGTTGAAATGTGCTATACAAATAAACTTGTCTTGCTTTAAGGTTGTAAAATGATTGGTTAGGTTTAGGCAACAATCTACTTGTTTGAGGTTAGAAAAAATATGCTGTGTTAAAACTATAATGTAAAAACGTAAAGTAACAAGGTAACGTAATAAGGCAATGTAGCAAAGTAACGTAACAACATAATATAGCAACGTATCTTGACAACGTAATGCAATAACGTAATGCAACAATGTAACTTAACGATGTAACGCAGCAACATAACGCAACGATGTAACACAAAAATATAACGTAAGAACGTAACTTTTGGTTGCCTTGTAACGTCAGGCACAAATAATGGGAAAAAAGGACAAATGCAGCACAACAGGCGTTTCCTATGCGTTTTTAGACACAAACATGTGAACAGTCCTTTACTTCAGTGTGTTCCCTCAATACTGCAGCACTATGTGACAATTCTTACTTTGCAATCACACACTAATTGTGTTTAAAGCTAGCATATCCAGATTCTCGTAAACGTTTCGCGGTGTCCAATAATCAACTGAGTGCTCTGTTTGAGCACATCTTAGCTGTAGTACAAAACGATTCACAATGTCAAGTTAGCTGAGCCAAATGAATGTCTGTTATTCATCGGTCTGTCATGTTTTTCTAACATTAGCTGACATTAGCCAACATGAGCTAATGGTCATACCAGACCAAGTAAGCCTGTAGAAGCAAAACCCCTGATTGTATGAATTCAAATGTGAGCATTAATGTGTTATGCTTTCTTTCTTTCCTTACGTCAATCCATCTGACAGATTTAAGGCAGTAACTCCTTAAGTGACTGTCTGTGCAAGACATATATGTCCATTCAAAACAATAAATGTATTATTGATGATAAGGACAATGATGGTTGACAGTTCCCTTCACACAAGCTGCAGCGATTGGCAGAATTTTACTGTTCATCAAATAAAAGACCACACTCAGTCACCCGTGGGAGATCTTACGTGAGCGATTACGAAGCCATTTTAATTAACATACATTGTGAACTGTGACCTCCCCCCCCCGAGCTCTACGGCTCAGCGACTCTCCTCCCATGTAACCACAGCCCCTAATGTGTTCTAAGTGTCATTAAAGCCGGGAGCCAGCCACACACTCCTCCGGCGCTCCTCTGACAGATGGGAAAGCCCCGTGGTGCAGATATGATACAGAGATGTTAAAGTATCATTTACATTCCCAGTTGGGGTTTCCATTGTAATGTGCCAGTGGTATTTAGTGCATGTAAGTAGTGGGGCAGATTAGTGAAACAATCTTTCACTTGGTGATACAAGCAACAAATTTGGCACAAATTATCTTCAAGACCTATATTTTCAAAAAAGCCCGGTGTCCACAATGGGAAAAAAATATGGCCGCCATTTTCCAAGATGACCGCCAGCAAATGCCATTATATGTGATTTTTGACCTGGATTAGTATTGGATAATCCAATGTTGATGATCTTGGCATCAA